CGCTACAACAACAACAACAACAGCACTAAATCCACGAATCTATTTTACTTTAATAAAACCATAAAACATTTGAGAAGAAAAACATGTTTGAATATTAATTTTCTCCACTTATTGATAATAAATTCCGCTATGCGCGGGAGTTTTTTTATAATTTATCAAAATTGTTGTTATTTTTTGGAAATTTATACAAAAGTTCATCGTTTGCCACCACAGGCATTTAAATCTAAAAAAAAAATAACGTTACCCTAGTATACATCCCACCCCGTTCTTCAAGCGATGTGTACCACGCCCATATATAGCAACACTGACGTACATCAGTGCAAAGCATCCAAAAAGCAAACTCGTAATCCTCGGGGACTATAACCTACCGAGTAGTTGGGAACAAGGAAAGGGTGCATTCCAAAACGTCAAAATACAAAGCATCAGTCCCTTTTATTTCTAAACCGAACTAGAAGAAAAAGTCTAGCTTGCGCAACCTAGTTAAAAATTAACATCTAACCGTGGTTGCGCACATTGGGCATTACAATCTGCTGAGGTTTAGAAATAAAAGAGACTGATGCTTTGTATTTTGACGATTTGGAATGCACCCATACTGTGAAGATATTCTCCGCGCGGAATTTATTTTAAGAGAATGCCAACAAGTTAACAAGATACCTAATCCATATGGTCAACTTTTGGACCCATGTTTCAGTAACATCGAAACTGTTGTCACCGCAGATCTGTACCACCCCGCCTTAAATGCTAATATCCACTTTAGCTCCAGTTTGAAGGTAAACTCTCCCCCTGTATACTGTTTTAAAAAAGCTTACTATATCGCACTCAATCGACTCTTCTTAAACACCAATTGGATCAACCTTTAAAAGCTAAATACACTCGATGAAAAGGTAATCCTGTTTTATGAAATAGTTTTTGATGGTATCGCCCGTCTTGTTCCGATTTTTAATAAGAAGCACCCCGAATACCCCTTCTGGTTTACTAAATGACTAATAAATAAGATTAAGCTTAAGAAGGCAGCACATGCTCACTATAAGAAATATAAATCTAGTTTTACCTACAGAAGACTTTCTGCTCTACGGAGCGAATGCAGAACACTAGGCGCAACCTGTTACAGGAACTATGTTGCTGGCATTAAAAGCAGTATCAGGACTAATGCAAACAAATTTTGGAATTATGTGACGAATAAAGGCGTAATGACACTAATATACCTTCTAACGTAACATGGGAGAGTCACACAGCTAGCAGTGGAGTTGAAGTAACCTCTTTGCGTCATTCTTTGAAAGCATATATGAATACTGCCCGAGGATTAGCCATGGGGAAGTAGACACTTTGATCGTACCGAAAGGTGATGTAGATCTAAGTGACATTGATGTCTGCTATGATGATGTTTATACACAACTTTTAAAGCTGAACGTTAAGAAAGGAGCTGGTCCATATGGACTGTCGAATATGTTTTTGAAGAATTGCGCTATCGGCCTCTGTGAACCAATCACACATATCTTTAGTAAATCCCTGCAAACTGGTGTGTTCGCCGTTGTATGGAAGATATCTTATATTAGTCCCATTCACAAAACTGAAGTCAGACGTATGTAATTACGGACCAATTTGTAACCAATCGTCGCTAGCTACACTCTTGGAAAAAATGGTATTGCGCCGTATGCCCTTCGCATTCAAGAATATCATAACTACAAGGCAACACGGATTTACATGTGGTAGGTCGACATCCACTAATCTATATCAATACGACACCTATATTTTGGATAAATTTAATGACAATAAAGATGTACACGCAATATATACAGACTTCAGTAAAGCTTTCGACATCGTGGACCACAACATACTACTTCATAAACTTGTTATGTATGGAGTAAAAGGGAGTGTTTTAAAATGGTTTTGATCTTACCTGTGTGAAAGATATCTGCAAGTCAGAGTCAATGGCTATAGTAGGTTCGCTTCTACTTGTTGTTGTTGTTGTTCTTGTTGTAGCGGCACTACTAAGCCCCCCTTTTTTCGGGTTTACATTCAATCATTTTCGTCAAGCTCAACTAACGGGAGGCCCAGGAAACGAGCTGTTTCAATGGGTTCGGACCAGAGGGAGAGGGGTGTTAGCTGAGTCGGATTGAGCTGGCATGTAAAGAGGTGGTTGGTGTCGTGGGGGGATTCTCCACATGCCAGGCACTCATTGGGGATATTGGGGTCGAGTCTGGACAGGTAGCTGTTGAAGCAGCTACAGTAGCCAGACTGTAATTGAGCCGGTTCTACGTACCGGAATGACTCGGGTTTTACCCGACCAAGGGCTGCTGTTTCGGCGACCTAACCACGCTTAGATCGGCGATACCCCGCAATCAATGTTCGCTTCTACTTCTGGAATTCCGCAAGGACCACATCAGGGACCAATTCTGTTTAATATCTTCATAAATTACATTGGTAATAAACTTAAGTCTGAATATCTGCTCTATGCAGATGATTTAAAGATATATAGAAAGATAACCAGTGATGAAGACGTTGATATGCTTGTTGTTGCAAGCAGGCATGCATCAAGCATGCATCAGGCCCAAGGTAGGCCCCACACTTCGCTCACTCCTCGCATCGCGACCAGCCTCCCAAGGCATACGAACGTACTCCAACTCAACTGCAACGGACTCCAGAGCAAGATTGAGGAGATAGCAGTCTTCATGGGTCGGCACGGCATATTGATAGCTGCGGTCCAAGAAACGAAGTTGCACAGCAACCCAACTTTGTTGGGTTGCGCCGCCTACAATGTGCTCCGTAAAGATCGCGAGCGAGATAATGGTGGAGGATTAGCGTTCATTCTACACCACACAGTGCAGTATCGGCTAATCGAAGAAGACATCGACCCAAGGGACACTACCCTAGAATGTCAGGGCATAGCTGTCCGGTCAGGCGATGTCGAGCTCGAAATATTTAACGTGTACATACCCCCTGTCACCTGCTGCCCGGCTGGATATCTCTGACATAGGTGCGCTAGTCAGAGGCGAAAACCGACTGGTAGTAGGTGGCTTCAATGCGCACCACGATCTTTGGCATTCAAGCCTGGCCAATGATCGGAGGGGAAACATTTTGGCTGAGCAGATAGACGATTCGACATTCTGCACCATGAACGACGACGCCCCCACCAGGATTGTGGGCAGCTGCAGCAGCTCGCCAGAC